TAATTTAAAAAATTTTATTATTTTTTTTAATTTTAAAATTTTTATATTTTTATTATAGAGGAACACATAACAAATGAGAAGCTATTAATTATATTTTAATTTGTAATAGCAACAAGTGATAGATCTAATAATATTTGTTGGGGGATAAATTTCTTCTCCAGGGGTAACCTTAATAATAAAATTATTTTTAAATTTAATTTCAAAATTTTCCTCATATTAATCAAAGGTAGAATGCAAGTATGTAATTCTGGCATACTTATCCGGGGACAACACATTTAAAATAAAATAAGTTGTTAAATAAATAGGGTCCTTGTCGTGTAGCGTTTTGCTTGCCTCTCTCTCCACTTGGGTGTTGGTGTGTAACATATAGTTACTGATACTCTATTACTAAAAGGGCAAGTAGAGAAGGTTGAAAAGACAAATAAACATTTATTTAAAATAGATACTTTATTTTATTCTAAATGTGTTGTCCTCAGGATGAATGTGCTATTTTATTATTAAGTTTTGACACACATATAAATTAAATAAGTTGTTACAAAATAGGTAAAATTAAACAAGTTGTTGCATAAATAAGGTCCCTGCCATGTGGCATTTTTCTTGCCTCTCTTTCTCCACATGTGTGCTTGTTGTGTGTAGTATGTACTTAAAACGAAAGTAGTAAAGGTTAAATTTTTTAGACCATTTATATTAAATATAAACTGTCAGATTAATAATTATATTTATTAAAAAAATTTTAAAATTTTTATACATTTTTTAATTTAAAAATATAAATAAAAAATAAAAATAAAATTATTAAATTTGAACTATAAAAAGACAGTCTTTGAAGAGTTGTGCCACAAAAGCTAACCAATAAGGTTGGAGACCCAAGGGTTTGTAAAAACCCCTTATCAATATACTATTTCTGATGGTGGGCTCAAGTCCCATGCTTTGCAATGTGAAAAATTCCACTGCGCTCCACAACCTTGTTAGGCACACAAGCGATATAGGGTAGAGAAAACAGGCTTCATAACCCATTGTCAACCCACAGGCAAGGAAAAGGACGAGAGAAGAGGGGAATGGAGGTAGCAGAAAGCTCTGATTTCGTTGGCAGGAACCTTCAGGAGAGCCATACCTCAAATGCTGTCCATAAGTTTGGAAAGCCCAAGGCCCCAATAAATTTTACTTCAAAATCCATGCATGCCATGATTATTTTATAAATTATTTTTGGAAAAATGTGATCTAGAAATTGGGGGTGTTACAAAAATATATCTAGAAAGGATATAAGATAGATGAAGTTCTCATTTCCTTTGTAGAAATCTTTTTTTCATATGCAAACATGCACTAAGAAACGTTAAGGGTTCTGCATTTGAGTGCTTCAAATAGCATATGATGACAATGCAAGTTTATGGAGAAGGAAAATCAAAGGCAGTGTTCGACAGTCCACCATGCTTTAACGCGTTAGCGAAGAATACACTAAGCCATTAAAACAATTCCTTTATCAAGCTGAGACAGAGATGACAGAATCATTTGGTTACCAGCAAAAAATGGGAAATATTCTGTAATACATAGGGCTTTGCCAAGGCATTAAGGTAGGATGCTATGATAATTCCTACATCAAGCACTTCAATTACAAATCCAGTTGATATTTGGAAGAAGATATACATTGGCTGTTCAGACACTACCAATTCAATTCAGCATTTTATTTGGCTCATTCTCTCAAACGCTACTGCAACACATGAAGCCTTTACAACACGGATTCAAGCCCCATTTGTGAAGGAAGCTTGAAAACGATTGAGCATTTGTTCTTTGTCTGATCTTGGACGAGGTATGTTATGTATGGTTTGGTAGTGAACTTTCTTTCAAAGTTGACCCATGCAAAATTACAAGCTTCAAGGATTGGTAGGTTTACATTACTAACTCTAATAGTTCGTTTTCTGATTTAGTTATAGCACAAGTGCTGGTTGCTTTGGTTAATATGGAAGGGTGGGAATGATTATTTATTAATCATGAAAAGTTAGAACCTTTAGCAGTGATTATCAATGCAAAGAGTGAAATCCAAGAGTACTAGGCAACTTGTATGATGAATGGGAACCATGAAGAGGCAAACCAGCAACAGCTTGAGACTTGTACCTGGAAATTTCCACTAGCAGGTTAACTCAAATATAAATATGATGGTGCTTTTAAGCCAAAGACTAAAGTTGAAGCAATTGGTACTCTTTGTAGAAATGATCTTGGTGAATTTTAGTGGGCTTTTGTTGAGAAAATCAAATCTGTTTCAGCCTTTATGACTGAAGCAATGGCTTTTAAAAAAAGGCAATGATGTTAGCCGTGGATTTAGGCAACGATAAAATAATATTCAAGAATGATTGCTCTAATTTAGTCAACAGTGTGAATAATTGCCGCTCTAATCTTAGCAATTGGTTTTGTTCTAGTGTGATTCTTGACATACTGGACTTCTTGAGTTCCAAAGTTAATTTTTCTATTTCTTTTGTTTAAGAAGGCTCATCACTTGGCTGCTGGCTGCAGGTGAAGGTAAGCAAATGCACTTTCTCACTTTGAAAAAAATTATAAACAAAATATGTAAAATTTACAATTTTACATCCCTACCCTTGATATTTTGCAACCTCAAAATGAAATAAAAAATATTTGGACCAAAAAACTTGTTATATTTATAATATTTTAATGATCCGGATAAAATATGAATAGCATATTTATATAAAAAAATCTATCAACTCGTTCAATATAATTTTTTAAAAATAAAAATGATGATTTGCTTATGTTATTATAATTTTAGTCATTGTGTAATTATTATTTTTAATTATTAAATTAATGTTTTTAGATAAATTAATAATCTTTCAATTAAATTATCTAGCACTCTTGGCTCCAGGTTTTGGCTCTACTATTGGCTGTCAATACTTGTAAGGATGTGTGTCCTTTTAGATGGGTGAATACACCGACACTTTCTTCGTCGAATACATTAGCTGTGGATGTCATGGAAGCCAACATGCATAAGGATTGAGGAATCGATCCAGAACTTGGGTGATAGAGTTAGCGTGGCCTGATTTGCTCCCTTTTCTGCTCTACTCGCGTTATTTTCTTTTCGTGTGCTTTTGTTGCTGTTTTTGTTTGGCTGTATTCCTGTTTTTTCAGACGATGTTTTGACCTGAGGTCATGTTTGGTTGTTAAAAAGAAATAAAATGAAATAAAATGAACTGAAAAAATAATATAAAAATAAATTAAATCATCTTTTTTTATAATAAATATAATAAAACTCATTAATATATATTATAAATGTGAGAATCATTATACATTTCAAAAATTTTATAAATCATAATTCTCAACCTCGTAAACTAAATTACTTCCTTCCTTTATGAATATGGATCACCATTCCTTTTGATTATCTCATTTTTATTTTTATTTTTTCAATCCATTTCATTTCATTCTAATAATCAAACATGACTTATGTGTTTTCAATTGTTACATTGAAATATCCATTTGGCCAAAAGAAAAACAAAAGAAAAAAAAAACATGCTTTAGTCCAGCTTGCTTTTTGAACTACAATTGTAGCTCTAGTGTTTATGCAAAGGTTTTGTAGTGTGTTTTTGGATAGGGCTTTTGTCATTTCAAAAACCCTTTTAACTAGGGTTCATTTAAAAAATGCATTTGATTTTCAATTTATTAAAAATTCATTGTCAAAAACTCATGTGTCAAGAATCACCTTGATAAAAATTAGTCATTATAATGAGATTTGTATTTAAATAGTTTAAAAGATATATAATCAAAAAATACTTTTAAATGTATAATTACTAAAGAGAATATAAATTTTATGGTATTCAATTTTTGCTATATATAAAACTTCATTTATTGAAGAAAATATATAAATAATATAAAATTTAATATGGCAAATAATTTTATATGATAAAAATGTGAAAAAAAAATTACATGTTGAATAACACACCACACATATAATAAAAATTGTATATAATGTAAAGTTTGATATGTTGAACAAAATATTATATAAATAACTCTAAATGTTATAAAGGAAATTTAACGTGACTAATTGTTCTGTCTACAATGTAATCTTTAATTGAATCATGCATATTATTGATCTCTTTTAAATAGGCTATATTTAGAATTGAAGATGAATATACATACTCAGCATTATCTTCATCATAATCAAAACCACAACATGGGAGAAAAAGTAGGTTAAATTTTTTAACTCCTAGTTCACGTCTTGACTCCCACTTTCAAATATAAAAGCAGGTATTTGTTATGTTGGGAGAATGCACTTTTCAAGTCCTCTTGATGGACTTCTGAAAATAGCGTTTTGAAGAACAATGGAATCAAACAAGCTGAGTAGAAATGAGATCCACAAAAGGACTTTCAAAATTCCAAACGCTAAAACCAAACACCTAACTTGCTTTTCTACATAGGGATATAAATATCAATTTCTTTTCTACACATCATTGCAAAGATTTAGAGGGTTTTTGGTTGGAGGGAAGGGGAGGGATTTTGCCTCCCCGCTTTGTTTGGTTTGAAAAATTAGAATAGAGGGGAGAGGAGATTTTTTTTTTTTTTCAAGTCATCGTTTGGTTGGAGGGGTTCCCCTCCCCTCCCTTCCAAAATCTTCCCCTCCCCCCCAAATTGGGGGATCCCCCCTCCCTCCCCTCCCCTCCCTTTCCCTCGAAACAAACAAAGCCTAAATCTCCCCTCCCCTCTAAATCCTCCCTTCCAAATTAAGGGGATTAGGAGGAGAGGGGTAAAATTTTTCACACCATGATCAATCTGCCTTCCGCGATAAGTTCAAAAAATGCATATACACTTCTCCATTATCTCAACACTAATAAAATGAGGGTAAAATTGTCCATATATAATTATTTTCCCCCTTTCTAAACCAAACAAGGTAACATCAAACCCCTCCCCTCCCCTCCATTAAACCCCTCCCTTCCCTCAAACCAAACACACCCTTAATGTGCCAAAACTATGCTGGGAGAACAAAAAAAAGTGAAAGCAAATGGGGGTGCCTCGGAAGGGTTTAAAATCATCTCATTTTCAACTGTGAATATCATGATAGGATAAGAAGAATTATAAAGTAAAGGACATACAAGAGGACTCTAAACTAAAAACAACAGTGAACTTTGAAGAAAGTTACCAAAAAAGTAAGGGAATCAAACTGTATTCACAGTATCAGCTAGGTATCGCAGTATGCAACCGAATCCTGCCTTCTCAGTCAATTTTTCATGAATCCGAAGACACTGGTCGCATGTTGGTCGATCTCCCGTCGCCAGACCTTTGTACAAGTACCTATTTTAAACAGTGCAGGCAATGAACAAGCAACTTAAGAGAAAATCCAAAATGCGACATTCTTGAATGTAGGTGTTCCCATGCTTTATAGAACCATTTATATTCAAAAAGTGGCACATAATACAAACACAAGTATGGCAAGCACTTTCATGCTGCATGCAACTTACCCATTCTAAATTCTAAGCAGAACAGGTCTCATGGTATGTTTGGATGAGTGTTTTGGAAGCCCAAAACGCAGTTTGAGGGCCAAAATAAGTTTGAAAAATGTTGGAAACCAAAAAACACCTCAGTTACTTGCCCCGGAGCCCAGACCACATGGCCATGTTGCATTTGTTATTTCTTGCCACTCGTCCTTTTGTGCCCAGTATCAGTTTATGAGACTCCAATGACATCTCAGTTTCAGGTTTCCACATTTTTCAAGGAAAAGAGGACTGTCACGGACCCCTAACTCGTATTAAAGGGCATTAAAATTAAATTCCCCTCGAAAACCCCAGAGATGAATTACCAACCATATTTTCTAAAGTTATTATTCATGCTTTCTAAATAAACTACTTGATCTTCTAGATATTATAAGAATCTTCTAAATTTGTAAACAACTTTGAATGAAAATGTCCTCGTAGTACTACATTTGGAACATCAGGTATGTAATTTTTAAGGAGCATGAACGATAATTTTACAAACCACCAAAGGTAACTTATTTTTACGCTCATTGAGAGGAACTTTCCTTTTTTAAGGTCCTTATAAGTCATTAATACAAGTTATGGGTCTGCGAATGTCATTTTTTCTTTTTCTAGAACACCAAAAGGATATTCAGGGGAAGTATTGCAAGAATATAAATACAATGCAAAGCTACAGTTATGGAAGTTTTGTTGAATCAGGCAAGCCTTATCCAAGGACCACAATAGTCTTCTTCAAGCATTATGTACTTGGCATAAATCATAAGGTTTCTATCGTATATGATTCTTGGGTGCATAGGATCACTGTTTAGGCCCCAAGGATTCTGACATGAAAAAGAAATTTGCTGATTTTAGAATCACTACTCCCCCAATAAAGCACCGAAATAGGATGCAATTAACTTATTTCAAAACCCTAAGATCTTTAAGCATACTCTCCATGACTACTAATCAATGGCAAATAAAGTATAAGAAAGTTGTATTGCAATCAATTCAAAATTAATAACGGGCAGAAAAAACCACTTTGCTAGCTGGAAGCAAGAATCCTTCACAAGTATCAAACTAAAATCCACTAAAAGATATCAACTGGCAACAGTGCTGGTAGAAGAAGCTATGACTGCTTAAACACGAGATCTCGAGTTCAAATATGCGTGAATGCAGAAAAACGCCTTCAGGAGAGCTACCTCCTACAATATACAAATATTGAGACATGTATAGAATACGATACATATCTGATACGTCAATACTTTTATCTTTAAAAATATAAAATACGACATGTTTTCGATACGTGCATGCGTGCGTGCGTGCGTGTCACATGAACATTTAAAATATAATTTCAATTAAAAAAAATTCATATATCATATATATATATATAGTCCTCCATAGTAATACAAAGCAAAGTATAATCATTAATTATATTTTCATTCTATTTATAGCTAATTGCTTACTGCCTAGTCTTTGCTAATAGTTCCCTACTTGGAGATTATATGCTAAAAAATTATATTCCTACATTTTTATAATTAAAAAAAATTATAATTTTTATCTTTTTATTATACCTAGAATTTATTCTTTGAGAAAAATCTAATCTGTCTTTAAAAGCAAATTACAAAAATAAATTAAGAATAAAAAAGATTAACATCACAATATTTAACAAAATTTAGTTTCTTAAAATTAGATGTGAATTATCGGTTTTAAAGTATCAACTGATAATCTAGAAGTATCATATATGTATCAAAAATTAATTTTTTTAAAAAATTAAAAATAATATGTCAATACTTTATAGATACATATTGAAGAAGTATTGATAAGTATTGGTATCATACATGATACTCGTACAGATACGAGAGGCAATTTGAAATATCAATGCTTCATAAGCTACCCTCAATTGAGCCTGAAAATACTCAAATCTAACCTAGCCAAATAGCTATATCAACAAATCCACTAAAAGATGAAATTGACCTCTTAATCCAAACAATAACATCAGAACAATGAAAATGTTTAACAAAAACATTTCATAACTTTTAACATTGACCTTATTAACTTTGTCAGAGTATGGAAACAAAATGACACTAGGTGATTGAGACATAAATGATTAGGCAAACCAAAAGTGAGCAACACACTTCAAATCACAAAGGGGCAATTGGTTCTAGGCCGAACTTCAAGTGTAGATGGTATTTACTCTTTACAAATTCCTTTATCTATAATCTGTAAGTTAAAATATTTCACAAAAATATATAGGAATTATATTTATGCATATATTTGCAGCTTTTCGACATCACCCTAATCCAAGAAATATGTAGCAGTATCCATAAGCTTTTCAGAAGAATCATTTGCAAATTATAAGATTCTAACTAGGGATTGCATTGAATTTGCACCTTCAAGGCAATGTCAAAATGCCGATCACCATGGTGGAATGGCATGGCAGCTTCAGGCCTCCCAGGTATATAGCCCCCAAGGTGTGGCAGCCTTACTGGTTCCATGGTGGCCAATATGGATGCCACGACCATTGCCATAAAATATGGTGTCAAATTAAAAGTGCAAGGAAGGCAAGCTTCGACACATTTGTCCCCATGTTTTATCTTACCTCCAGTAAATGGACCAGCTGTTTTTATTGGTAAGGTAGCATCTTTGATGGGCCCACTCTTACATGGAGAACATGACAGGAGAAAGAATAAAAGTGGGCTAGCCCACAAAAGCTAGTCCCCAAATAGCTCGTGATGAGACAGAGAAGGGAATAGGACAAAATTAGAATAACTAACAAGGATGGGAGGAGAGTGAGAAGGCCTTTGAGGGGTATATAATGAGAGGTATAAGCGTTATGCAGGAAGGAAGAGTGTGTGTAAGAAAGTCTCTAGCCTATTAAAAGCCAGAGGGTATTTTCATTTGCTATTCTCTTTTCCGTGTCTGCTGCTATCAGTAATCATCTGGGCTCTAAATTCCCAATTGCAATCCTGTAAGGGAATCAACTCAGTTCTGGTATGTAAGTAACACTAGAATTATGGCCATAAGAGTTACATCAGCCTCCTAAAATATAGCACTTAGAGTACCTTTTCATAACTTGTGGTTTAAGTTTTCATAAAAAAAAATAATAATAATAATAATAACTTGTGGTTTAAGTACTTTGCCCTTAACTCTCATGTTCAATCTATTATGTTGGTTCATGTCATTGGTATGCACATAACTAGACATGTTTTCTCATAAAATGCGTATGGTTTGAGAATGAGTCATGATATTCATGGCTCTTGAATACTACAGCTTATTACAAACTCATATATATTGATGCTATATTGATTCAAAGTTCATTTTTCAGGTTCTTTTCAACTTTTTCTCTAAATCGTTCAATTTATCATTCAAGACTGTACCCATATAATCACCCTGTGGACTGTTATCATGATGCAATTATGCCAGCATGTTTCTGTAAGATTATACTAACTCATTATATGTATTATGATTTCCAGCTGCTACTGTTTTGGTGTAGCACAGGTAACCGAGGGAGGTTCAACTTCAGCGAAGCAGCATGGTATGTACCATCATACCTTTTATTTTCCTTTTGCAGGGAAAATGCATAAGATTCAAATATTGCTGTAGCAATTCACTGTCATGCATTCTTAAGCTATTTTTCTCAATTAAAAATTCAAATGCACACTGCAGATTATGAAAAGAAAAGCAAAGATACACAGATGGAAAATTCTGCGGGAACCAAACTAAAATAATTGTTGACTAGTAATTGCAGAATGTTAAAATTGTCCAAATAATTCATTATTCCAACATAAAGATATTGAACTCAAAATTCATATATACAAAGATGTAAACAAATCACTCTATCACTTACTTCATTAGGATGTCATAGTACTCAGGGTCCAAAGAAGAAAGCATCCCATCCACATCTTTTATAGCCATTAAAGCTCTATGTACCACAATCCAATGTGCAGACTGCAAATTCAACAGCATCATATAAAAAGAAGTTTCAGGATTAGGAGCACACGTTGATCAGCAAAATAAATAGTTCAAACGATACAGAAGGAATCTAGGGCGTGTTAATTTGTCTACTTATTATCGTCCTCAATACCATATGAAATTCTAAAATCGAATGGACTTAGCCGAGTCAAAATTCAGGAAAGCAAGCAAATCAAATTTTAAAACTTTAGACACTTATCGTTCAATCATTCAAGAATAAGATGTTCCATTACAATATAGCTTAGCTCTGAATGAAAATTGATCAGGTCTCTTTTGCCTATTGAGGTTAGCTTAGAGATAGCAGTATGGCAAATTCACACAAGAATGTTGGTTTATATTCGTCTTTATGAACCCCAATGAACATTAAATTTTTGAAGTTTGAAAAAATTGACATGACTCTTTTTTTTTTTGGGGGGGGGGTGTTGGAGGAAAACCTTGCAACGTTCATCTCGGGTCATGGCATGAGCGCCTTCAAGAGCAGTTTTAAGTGCTTCCACTGGTTTGTACCTGAATTTGCATCAAAGATAAGAAATTATGAAACATTTGCGTGAGAATAAGGATATATGTTACGGTTCAATTGACAAAGAGCAGAGAAACAAAAGACGAGGAAGAAGCCATTACTGTTTGAGTAAGCTTTCGATCTTCCGAGTTTTGTGTTCAATTCTAATCATAATGGCCTCCGCATTATCCGCTTCAACAAATCCTTCTGCTCCTGCCATTTCCTCGCAGCAATTTTCTGGTTCTTCTTGAGAAAAAGCCTCCTGTAGTCTATCCCAAGGCTTTGTTTGGATATATTTAAAATCAAAAATCAAAATGGTCTGCCCAAGGAAGGAGCAAATCAAAATTAAGACTTTTGATGACGGGGTTGCTGGTGGATCTTACGATGTCTGCAGTATTCCTCGCCCCCTGCCAGAAGCTGCCGTCATGGACGCCAAGAAGAGAGGAAAGCGAAAAAAAAATTAATGGAAAAATTAAATAAAATAAAGGATCAAATATGCAAATATCCCTAAACTTTGATCTAATTGCACATAATTCCTCTCTTCTTTAATCGTTTAAATGACCTCCTCACTTTTTTTCCCCCAAAACCCTGTACCTTTAAAACTACTCCCCCCATTTTTATATATAAAGTGATTTTAATTAAATTTCATATATTAATATAAGTTTGTTAGTTAATTAAATGCACATAAAAAATAATAATTTTTTAATTTTATTCCTAATAATATCATAGTTAATATTATGATAGTGGTAGGGAAAACATACATTTAATGATCTATTTCATTTTTCAAGAGAAAGATAAAATTGTTTAATTACTCAAAAAAATTTATTGGCACCTCTTATATTTAGAAATAAAATAAGCTTTTAGAAAAAAAAAATTTATACATAAGAACGGAGGGAGTATGTTATTATATTAATAGAGTTTGTTATCATATTAATGAGATATACAAGGCACCTAACATGAAGAAAAATAGTTTAATTATTTTTTTGATACTCAAAAGTTTAGATGAGTTGAATTTTAAAGATAACCAAAGTCAAAGCATGCTGTCAAGTTTAAAGAATGCTTATAAAATACTTATAAATTATTCGCTATTAAGATCTTTATATCAACAATAAAATTTGATCATATGACCTTGCAAGTTGGTTGTCAATAAAGTTTTTACCAATTGGATCAACCTTTATTAGTCTATAATTTAATTATTTTTAACTCCACTTGAGAAATGTAACATCCTAATTTTAGATATAAAAAAATTTTATGAAATTTAAGTTAATAATAGAAATTTATATTATTTGAGATTATTCAGAAATAATAATATGGTTAGAAATTTAATTATGAATTAAAAACTTAGATTTAAAATTATATAAGAAATATTTTGTTAAGATATAATTTTAAGATTTAAAATAAAAAAAATTATGTGTGTGTGTGAGTTAAAAAAAGAAAGAAAGAAAGAAAGTAAAAAAAAAACGAGGACACTATAAAAGTCCCACATCGATTAGATGTGAGAAGGTGAGGTGCCTCCTCACATATAAAATGAGGAGGCACAGGCGAGGAGATGCAGAAGGAAGCAAAAAAGAAATGTTTTTGCAATTTATGAAAATTGCAACTAATGGCCCAAGGTGCAATTTGTGAAAATTGCAAGTAATGACCCAAAGGTTTGAATAATTAAATTCAGACCTATAATTTTTTTAATATTAATTGTGGGACCTAAAATTTTACTTTTATATTATTTTTCTCTCTTCCTCTCACGTTGCTCAGCGTCTTCTCGCAAGGGGGGATTATTTTCTTTTTCTTCAGGTATGCTCCAACTTTCCTGTTTAAATTAGTATTTAAAAATTTATTTAAGTACAAAATTAATTTTATAGTTATTTTCTAAATAATATTAGATTTCTAGTGATATGATTATTTTGTAGGATAGAGTAAATATTCTGATTAGGATTTTTCTATAGAATAGTTAATCTAATGATATGATGGATTAAAAATATACGTTAAAGCTCTTAGGGATGTAATAAATATTATAGAATATTTTCTTAAGGTTGAAACTCATGTTTAAGAATTTTTGAGTTAAAATCTAGATCTATATTGTTGAATTTATGTTGAATCTGAGATGTAGGAATGAACCTCTAATTATTAAATAGTTATTTAAGTATGAATAGGTATTTTTGAAGTTATAGAAAGGTGATTTGAGGCCTCAGGATAATTTTAAAATTTTTAATGTATTTTTGAACGAATTTTTAGAATATAGATGGATGAAATTATGATACTAGAAGTGAGTTGAGGCTTAAAAATAGTTTATTAGGGTACGAGAATTTTAGAAAAGAATTTAGAAAATTAAATGAGGCATAAAACTTAAATTAGTGTCAATATGAATTTTAGATATGAGACTTTCTAACTCTTTAAATTAGAGTTATTTATTAATTTCAATGTAAAATTAATATATAGTATTGTGAAATAATTATGTAGATTATATTGACAAAGATAGTGGTGAAAAAGGAGTTGTGAAGGGGAACTTGTCATTCAAGACACAAGGTAACCATTATTAATGTGTTGTGATGGGTGTGTTTGTGAATGGTTATGTGTTGTTTTATTGTTTGAAAAAATTATGAATTATTGAAAATAAATACTGTATATACTTATTTGAAATTATTGCCAAGTGGGTTAAAAATTTATTTTTATTTATCATGATGAGATATTATTGTTCGGATATATTTCTATTTGGATATTTGAATGATACATGACTTGTCAGGGTATTTTAATGTATGGTGTTAATAGGAATTTCTGTTCGGTTAATTATTACCACGTGGTAAGCCCTCATTGGACCCAATGAGTGGCGTGTCGCTTGGTCCAACTCACCTTTGGCCGAATGATTTGGCGTCCGAGCATGGCGAAAGGAGGATATAAGGTGCAGTCATTCAATTAAATACTTGTTCGGTTTATTTGGAAATATTATTCGATTAAATGTTTTTGTGTGCCCACTTAGCAATCGCATGATTAGTTACATCCGCATGCATCATTACATATTAATTTTTGGTTACTGGGACTTGTAAGTCTCATTCCCTGTGATTAACATTTTTACAGGAGCGAGTCCGGCCGAGAAAGCACCAAAGGCGTAACTTTGGTATATGAGACACTATTTTTTATGTTGCCTCTCATTTTGTATTATGCAATGTATCTTGTGCGAACCTAGGACATTTCTTATTTTGACAACATATAAACTCTAATCCTTTTTATTAAATGCATTTATATGACCAAGAGTATTATATTTGTCCCTCTTGATTCATGACCTGATTTAAATATCATGTCATGAGGATCTTGTCTGTCCCTCATGGTTCTAATTATTTTTGAGATATTTTAAAACTTGTGATATATTGTCTTGGATGTATCATGGTAGAAATTTTTCTACCATGATAAGGGTATGATAAGGGTTCAATGAAAAAAATAATTTGTTAAATTAATAATTTGTAAAAAATCGATTTGTAAATTTCAGGGTATTATAAGAAAGAATAGTACATATTAAAAATTTACAAAAATCTATACAATTGATAATAGAAAAAATATGGATAAACTTCTTAAAAAGATATTATTAAAGAATGTTACATAACATAAGCTATTACGTGTCTATTTTTAATATGATATAATAACTTTTGTTAATAAAATAATTAAAAAATAATGATAGGTTAAAAAATAAAAGGTTAGGAATATTAATTTTATACTTTTAAATGTGAAGATTATATGTAATTGTCTTAAATTTTATAAGTTTTTTTGTATATTTTAGCCTAAAATAAAATAAAATAATGGGATAATAAAAATTTTAGTTTCTCAATTTTATTTCAATTATCAATTTGATCCTTTAAATTTAGTTTTTATCAATTTGTACCTTAAGTTATTTTATTTGTTGATTTGGTTTTTGTTGTTTTAAAAATAGGTTACATTAATAAAGTTTGGTGACATTGATAACAAAATATTAATAGCAATCATATAAATTGATAAAAAAAAGTATAATTATTTAAGTAAAAAAACTCTAAAATTTTAAAGGAAAATTGTATCTCTAGGTCTTTAATGTTTTACTCAATTTTAAATCAAGTCTCTACAATATATTTTATTTTAATTGAACCTTTATAGTTTGATTAATTAAATTTTCTAATCCCTAACTGTTAAAATCCTTAAATTTTTTCTTTAAGAAAAAAATTAAGAACTTTTATATTTTTATTAAATGATTATATAACTTTAAAATTAATTACATAATTTTTATAACTCAAAATTTATATAATTAAATTCTCTTCTAAATATTTTTTTATACATATAGAATTTTTATAAAGATAATTAATAAAAATGTAAACAGTATACAAGATCAAATTTTCCTTTTTTGAATTTTGGTTAAAAGTATTAAATTAAATTTTTATATAAACTTCAAGAATATTTCTGTTTTGTAAAATTTGATAACTCATTATTAATTTTAAAGTTTAGGGTTTAAAAATGTAAATAGTATATTAAATCAAATTTTATTTTTTTAATTATGGTTAAAAGTATTAAATTAAATTTTTTGTAAACTCCAAGAATATTTTTATATATAAAATTTAATATTAAATTTAGCATTCGGGAGTTAGCATTTATAATAAATTAAGTTATAAAGATTTAGTTAAAATAAAATAAATTATAAAAATATAATTTAAAATTGTAATGACTTGAAGATATATTTTCCAAATTTTAAAAAAGCATAGAACATAGTAACATAGTGTAATGGATTATATGAATGGAAATTAAACTAATTTAAAGGTTACATTTAGCTAAATAAACATATCAAATCATTAATATATTTTATATATTAAATTATTTTGAGAGTAAATTTATATTTTTAAACTTCAAAAATTTACATGATAATTTAAAAAATATAAAGAACTAACTCAATAAAGTTTAAAGTCTGAAAGATCAAATTGATGAGTAAGGTAACTTAAAGGGTTCCGTTTTCTGTAAAATTGTAAATCCAGATAATGACAGGGTCTAGAACGTCATTACGTTCTACCGTCCTAATAATTACGCCTCTGAATACTTGTTACGCCCCATGTGGTGTCTTTTTCTTTGTTGCCTGTTTCTTAATTCTTACTGTGCACTTTTCCTTCGCTTCAAAGTCTTCCTTCCTTCGTTCGTTGCCATTCCATCCGCCCCCGAGAAGCTCACTCTGTTTATCTCTCTTCAGCAATGGCGGATTCGAGCCCTTACACCAAACCCCATTTCACATTATCTCAGGCGAACGCGCCGATCCGACCGAAACCCAATATCAACAAAGGTAAGTCTTACTCGGGCTTCCTCTTCAAATCTCTTCTCTTTGCCCTATTTGTAGTTGTTCTTCCACTTTTCCCTTCACAAGCTCCTGACTTTGTGAACGAAACTATACTCACCCAGTTATGGGAGCTTCTTCACCTTCTCTTCATTGGCA